CAGATGCTGCTGCTGCTGCTGCTGCTGATACTTGCTTCGAGTGTCTTTTGTCTTGTGCTGTCTTCTGCTTTTGTTAAAACTCTTCTCACAGTTTGCTGCTGCTTCCTGTTTTGTTTCAGCTGCTGCTGCTGCTGCTGCTGCTGCTGCTGCTGCTGCTGCTGCTGCTGTCTGAAGAGCATCGGAGTGTCTGCGCGCCGCAGACGCTGCGGCGTTGAGACTTCTGCTGCAGCAGCAGCTTTAACAGCAGCAGCAGCAGCAGGAGCAGCAGCAGCTGCTGCTGCTGCAGCAGCAGCAGCAAGAGCAGCAGCAGGCGCAGCAGCAGCAGCAGCAGCAGCAGCAGGAACGCCCGCACTTCATCTCCTTGCTGTTGCGTCTTCAGACCAGTCATCAACAGCAGCAGCTGCTGCTGGAGCAGCTGCATCAGCAGCAGCAGCAGCTGCAGCAGTAGCAGCGGCAGCTGCAGCAGTAGCAGCTGCAGCTGCAGCAGTAGCAGCAGCAGCTGCAGAAGCAGCAGCAGCTGCAGCAGCAGCTGCAGCAGCAGCAGCAGCAGCACCTGCTGCAGCACCAGCAACAACAACCGCAGCAGTGCCACCAGCAGCACAGAGTCAACCACCGCCTACACTGGCCACCTAGCCAGCTAGCTAGCTAGCGAGCTAGCTAGCTAGCTGGCTACCTATCTATCTATGTAGCTATCCAGCTAGCTAGATATATAGCTAGCTAGATAGCTAGCTAGATAGCTAGCTAGAGATGTAGCTGTATAGCTAGATATATAGATAGCTAGCTAGCTAGACAGCTAGATACATAGATGTATGGCTAGCTAGCTAGCTAGCTTGCTAGCTAGCTCGTTAGCTATCTCGGTAGCTGTCTAGCTAGCCAAGCACACAGATGAGCAGCCAGTGAGCTGACTAGCTAGCTAGCTAGCTAGCTAGCGAGTTACTTACTTAGCTAGCTAGCTCTTTATTCAACTAGTTAGCTAGCTAGCTAGCTAGCTAGCTAGCTGGCTATAGTTGGCAGCACGCTGCCTGACGTAGACCATCATCACAACCTCTCTGCAGCAACAGCTGCTGCTGCTGCTGCTGCTGCTGCTGCTGTTGCTGCTCCTGCAGCAGCAGCAGCAGCAGTGGCTGCTGTTGCAGCAAGTAATGCAGCTGCAGCAGCACTATCGCTCGTTTTAAAGACAAACAGTGTTGCTGCTGCTGCTGCTGCTGTTGCTGCTGCT